TGCTCTCTCCACTCTCAAAATCTGTTTTTTTTTTTTAAAGATTTTATGTATTTGACACAGAGAGACACAGTGAGAGAGGGAGAAGCAGGCTTCCCGCGGAGCAGGGAGCCCGACGCAGGGCTCGATCCCAGGACGCTGGGATCGACCTGAGCCGAAGGCAGATGCCCAACGACTGAGCCACCCAGGTGCCTCTCTCAAAATCTTTAAAAAAAAACTGCCCTTCACAGCAGAAAGTGGGTAACAGGTCAAAAGTGGTCCCAAATGTTGGCTGAGAACCAACAGAAGTTGTGACATCAGTTGTCACATTGTTTAAAAACCATCAAGATACTATGCATGTATTTCTCAGCTGTCCACTGGGATCCGGGGTTGAAGTCTACTAGAACTCAGGACTGGGGATTTCAACTACCACCAGCCCAGAAGCTATGCCACCTGGACTTAACTGCCGACCCTTCCTTAAGCTGCCCAAATGGCCTTGAGGTCTTTTGAGCATCCCAATTTCTAGACCTCTTTTCTTTCCTACCAAGAGAGATTTTTAGGAGTTCCTGATTGCCTTAGAAGAACATGCACTCAGGGTGCCTGGGTGGCTCAGTCGGTTAAGCATCTGCCGTTGGCTCAGGTCATGACCCCAAGGTCCTGGGATCAGGCCACCTGAGGCTCCCTGCTCAGTAGGGAACCTGCTTCTCTGCTCCTCTCCCTGGCTCGTGTTCTCTCTCTTGCTTTGCAGTCTCCCAAATAAAATCTTTAAAAAAAAAACAAGCACCCAATCTTGGGGTTCTGAGTTTCAGCCCCAGGTTGGGTGTAGAGATTACTAAAAACTTTTTTTTTTTAGATTTTATTTATTTATTTGACACAGAGAGACACAGCGAGAGAGGGAACACAAGCAGGGGGAGTGGGAGAGAGAGAGAAGCAGGCTTCCTGCGGAGCAGGGAGCCCGATGCGGGGCTCGATCCTAGGACCCTGGGATCATGACCTGAGCCAAAGGCAGACGCTTAACGACTGAGCCATCCAGGTGCCCCTACTAAAAGCTTTTTAATGTTTCTTTGGTTTATATCCATCACATAAGGGCACAAAGGAAAAGGCTTTTCTCAGCAGAAATTGGAATAAACACTTGTCAAAGCCATTGTGAGTTGCTTACAAACAGGAGTAAGTTTTATTTTGCCACTTGGCCGGTAGAAATGACCCAATACAGGCCTCAGTGAAGGATCTGCTCTTCGAGCCACGTACTGTGAGGCACTTTACACGGACATCAGTTCTCTAATCCTCATAACATTGTAAGGTAGGGTTATTCTCCATTTGGCAGATGCGGAAAGCGGTGAAATGACGAGCTGGATTTGCATAGCCCGCATGCTGGGGACAGGAAAGTGGATGCAAGATGTTTAGGAAGTAAAATAGGCCTTGGTAGACATTGTGGGGGCTGAGGAAAAAGTGGCTTGTCCCCAGGCCCCGAGCTTTAGGGGGGACTGGGCAGGTGATGCCTTTGGTGATGAGGAACCAACTGGGTTAGGGAGAGTGGCTGGAAGAGCTTTGGCTCTAGTGAGTGGGTGGCAGTTTGAAGGGCAGATGTCCAGGTGGGAGGTGTCAGTGAGCCAGTTAAATACAGCAGTGTCAGAGGTCTGGGTTGGGGCGAAAAGTGGCAGAGAAGGGGCCCCCTCCTTTAATCCTCGGCATAGCTTGGACGCATGCCCTGTCCTGGTTTCCTCCCTGCTCTCCACCCCTCTCCTGAGGAGCAATGTGAAGGCCAGCTGGGGCCTTCAGGGGATGTGCTGGGCGGATGTTCCCATGTGCACTTGCCTGGGAAAGACAGGACTGATATGTTCTTGGGGACACCAGGCCCCACTCCTACTCTGCCTTTAGTGTCCTCATCCAGTCCAGACAGGGTGGGGCAGGTGGATACCCCAAGGAAGAGCAGCCCAGACTCAGAAATACCCAGAGGATCTTCACCACCGCCCATGTGCACCAGAACCTGATTTTTGGGTTCCCTGTCGCCACTGTAGCAGCCGGTGTGAACTTGATCCTTGAGCTCCTGCCGTAATCCTTTGTGAGTCCGCATGGCGGGAGACTGTGGCCTAGGAGAGGAAGGACCTTGGCCAAGCTTCCAGCTTGGATCATGGACACCTCCTTCCCAAGCGTGGCTGGACCACAAGAGGAAGAGCATTGAAGGCCACCCCCCTTCCACTCCCCGCATCCCCGCCACCCTCCGGCCCCGGGCAGTGGAGGGATGACAGGAAGGAGAAAAAGGTTAGCGTGGGAAGCTCCACCAGGCTTCCTGAGCTTGCAACTCGAAGCCGGTTGCCCCCTGGACCAGGAGATGGCGCTGTTCTCTTGCAGGTTGCTGCAGGGGTAGGACACAGCCTCACTTTTAGGGTTGTTCTGGAAGGAGTTGGGGTGGGAGAGAAGGGTTCTGGGTTGTGGGAGCCTATCTCTTGGGTTTAGTCACTTCTTTCTGGAGCTCACCCCAGGCCTGGAGGTTACTTCTCTTTACCATGGGCTTCCAACGCCTTCCCAGGGCAGGGCAGGGAGCGCCCCCTTAGCAGGCAGATCCCCTAAAGTAACCGCTGGATCTCTTCTAGGTCTAGGAGCCTAGGGAAATTCCGATAGGAAGATAGATCCATCCTCTCAAGATCATACAACTGATCCCACCACATAGTTCTGCATATCATTTAAAGGGGCTTGTTAGCCCTCAGGTAAAGCCTCCCTGAGCAAGTCCAATTCCATTTCTGGGAGAGGAAACTGAGGCCTGGAGAAGCCAACGACTCCCCAGAATCTCAGCATGGCTTGAACACTGGCACCTACCTTTGATCCTCCCGGCCGGGGGAGGGTGTTCAGAGTAGACAGCCGCGGAGGTCCTGCACACAGCCGCTGTAGGGGAGACCTACAGGAGCGGGAGAAGGGGGCCAGGGTCCTTGGGCCCCTTCCCGGGGCTCTCTCCGAGGCTCAGAGCGAGAGACCCCCCAGGCTAGCTCCCTGCCAGCACAGGGAGGGCAGAAGTTGCCTCCCTTGCACTCCTCAGCAGAGGTCCCCACCCTGTCCCAAGTGTCAGGGTGGAGGGTGACAAGGATGGGGGGTGAAGAAGGCTGACAAGGCCAAATGGAGTGGGACTAGCGAGATGGGTGAGGTTGCACAGAAGGGCTCACTCTATCTGTCTCCCCCCCCCACCTCTGGTATCCGTCTCTCTACTCTTTTAGGCCTCTTGTCTCTGGCTTCCAGACTCCCCCTCTTTTCACATCTCCCCGAAGTCTACCCACAGACAGACCATCTAGGCCAGGTTAAGCTCAGGCTGAGGTGGGGGGAGGGAGGGAGGGCACGCGTGGGTCAGACAATAGAGCCAAATGGGGAGCTGGCACCGGCAGGTGCCTGGGCATGCTCTGCCCGAGGCCAGTGGCCCAGCCACCCCCCAGAACGGGCCCAGAGGAGGGCAGAGGCTCCGGCGGGGGCACCAGCTGTTCTCAGCCCCTGGCTGTGGGCGTGCTGTTAGTGCTTCTGCAGCGCTCAGCAGTGCGGCAAATGGGCCCGAGAGGAGGCGGGGGTCCAGGCCAGCTGCCAGCTGGTGGCAGGCACGAGTGGAGTGTGCAGAAAGCCTGGCTGAAAGGCTCTCACTCTCTCCAGTGGGGTGGGCTTGCGATCCCTGGAGCCCCTGGCCCAGCGTCTTGGGGTGTCTCTGTTTCCATCTTGTTGGTTTGAGGCACTGAGGGACCCAGGTCGGCAAAGAGCCGAACTGGGAGGCAAGAGAATGATTTCTGAAATTGGCTTGGTCACCAATTTGCTGGGTGACCTTGGGCTAGTTACTGGTCCGCTCTGGGCCTCAGTGTCCCTATGTATAAAAGAGGCAAAGTGGGGCTGGATAAGCTGTAATAACCTTGAGTATGCCACCTAGTATCTCTGTGCCTCAGTTTCTTCATCTGTGAAAAGGGAGAGCCCCACTTTCCTCAGTGGGTCATCGAGGGGGTTACATAAAGTTCCTGGCGTGGCTCTCCAGGCACAGCGGGTGCCTACTTAGGTGAGTTCCCCTCTCTTGAAGTCACTGGACTGGGTTTGTGACCCCCTTTTTCATTCCCACCATCAGGGGTCCTAGAAAGGGGAGGTCATCTTCCTCCTCCCGCTCACCCACCGAGCTCCAGGGCCTTCCCTGGGTGAAGGGGCGCAACGAAAGCTCAGCGTCTGGCCCTACCTGGCCGACCTTGCTTTGGGGGGTGGGGGGCTGCAAGGCAGGAGCGCTGGGCGCCGATCAGGAGGGGCAGCGCCCCCCTCCCCGCGCATTCTGGCGGCACCGGCGTGGCCCTGGCACCCCCCGCAGCCCGCCTCGCTCTCCCTCTGCGCTCCCCTCTGCCTATAAATAGCACAGGACGTGCCTGCCTCGGCGATGACGCGGCCAGGCGGGCGGAGGGGGAACGAGGCGGCTCTGCGGCGGAGCAGGTGGGCGGCGGGCGCTGGTGCGGGAGGGGCGCCGCCGCGGGCCCACTGAGTGCCAGGCTCTCCATGACGGGCGGCACTGAGTCATCGCCCCCAGTCATCTCGGGGGGGCCCCCTGTCGGCGATTGTCCGCGCCGCCTGCCTTCCTGCCTCGGGTTTGGGGGGCTGCGGGGGCGAGGCTGATCTCGGGTGGTGTCGGAGGCCACCGCCAGGTGCGCAGAAATGCTGCCGAGGCGCATAGCTGGGTGGCCGTCCCCGCGGACGCACGTGTGCATCTAGCCAGACCGCAGCCGCGCCGCACCCTCTCCCCTTCCAGCGTCCCGCAACATCCCACCGCACCCCACCCCTGCCCTGCTTTTCTCTCGAACTCCTCCCCAGATCCCCCATCTCAGGCTGCTGTGGGGAAAGGGAGCGGGGAGGCAGGGGGACCCCTGCAACGTCTGGGCCAAGCCCGGCGCCCCTCCTCTCAGAGATCTGCAAATTCTCCCACCTCCAGGCTTGTCTCCTTTTGGCACCTCCAGCCCCCACCCCACTCCTTGCACCTTTCCTTCCTCTCTCCCAAGCAGATACACAGCAGACAGATTGGGACAAGAAACATTTATTTAAGGGTCTAGGGGCTCAGTAATGCCCCAGCAGACCCCTCATGCAGCCTCATGTACAGTGGGCATTGGGCCCCCCCTGGGATATTGCTGGGGGGGGGCCGTGGCAGCAAACAGGGCAGTGTGGCTTGAGCCCCCCTCCGAGGGGGAGAAGTGGAGCCGGGGCCAGTGGGTAGGAGGATGTGTCCCTCCCCCTGTATGGGAAGGTGTGACTGTGCCCGGGATGGGGGCTGGCATTGGCTGGCACAATCAAGGGCACGAGAGGAGGCTCTGAGCTTGGGGGGAGAGGGAGGTTGGCACCAGAGAAAAGCAACCTGCGACGGAGGGGTCCTCCTCATATGTGCCCACCCCACCCCCAGGGTGCCTACCCCATTCCTTTCCTGGTGGCCAAACAGAATGATGGGCCTGCCTTGACCATCTCCCACTCCCTCTTCCTCCCAGGACTCCGTGTTCAGGATAAGGGCGCAGATACAGCCAGAAGAGGGATCCCTGCACTGAAGAAGGGGTCCCAGTGTTTCCTGCAAGGCTCAGAGGAAGGGGGTGAGGAAGGGCCATATGGAGGGGGGCCCTGAGGGTGGGGCTCCCAGGGTGGGCCTCGTGAGACCTGGGACAGGAAGTAAGCACAGCTCCCCAGGCTGGCCGGCCCTGCCACCGGGGACTTCGAGAGAGTCCTGACAGTGAAATGGGGGTTCTGACCAAGTACGGGCTCAGTCGGGTTTCTGTGTGCAGGCTGCTCTGGAGGGTCCTTCTCCAGGGGACAAGGACATGATGAGGCTGCTCTGTGGTGACTGTTCTTGAGGAGACAGTCTCTGATTTACCCACGCTTTCCCCAGAACATGGCCCTCCCCACCCCCCTCTGTCTGCCTGGGTTTCAAGTAAGGGGAGAGATTCCCACAGAACTTTCCTGAGAATTGATAGAGTGACAGAGGTGGTGAAACCAGGAGGTGGACTCAGGATCCTCCTGCAGCCCTGAATCGCCTCCCAACCCCGGGCGGCGGGGGGCTGCGGGACTCGGGAAGGCACCTTCCCAAGGCCCCGCTTCCTTCCAAAGGGGCAGCCGCAGGGTCACACACATAGACCCAAGCAGGGGCTCTGTGGGGAGAGGGGGATGGTGTCGGGCATGCAAAGGCGGTGTGGACGTGGGAAGGCTCTCTGGACAAAGCAGCAGGAAAGTTCCCCAGGAACGCCCCCCTCCCCGGGGCTGCACTCAGCGTGGCAACTGGGGGTATCCGGGCATTGGCTGGACCTACCTGGAGCTTCCCCATTCCCTCCCACTTTCTCCTCCTTCCTCATGCCCAAGTCCCAGAGGAGCAACTCCCTCAGGGCACCTTGGGACCCAAGAAATAAAACCTTCCTCAGTGCAGAAGGCTCCCAAGTGCCGGGGAGTGGCCCCTAGGAGAGAGGCAGGGGACAGAAGAGTGTGGGCAGATGCCTGTTCCCCTCCGGGGCCAGAAGCAAGCGCCAGGCATGGGCAGGGGTGGCATCTGGCTTCTCTTGGCTCCTCTCAGATCTCGGTCAGGGCGTCGGCTGGCACCAAGCCCCGCTTCTTGCCGCTGCTGACGCGGATGAAGCCGTCAGCATCCTTGCTCCTGCCCGCGCCCACACAGATCTGAGTGGGAGAGACACGGAGCTGAGTCCTGGCTCTGCCTACAGCCCTGGCCCCGAGTCCTGCTGTTGGCTCCCAGGGGCCACCCCAGGGGATGATGGGACCAGGATCAGATGTGGTTGGAGACATCAGCTGAGGCGATGGGAGCAGATCCCCTGAGGGTAACTGGGCTCGGCAGCGAGATCAGGACATCAGCAGACGCTGAGCGGCTCTTCGGGGCTGACCTGTGAGATGAGCTGGCCGAACGCCCCGGCTGAACTCCCATTTCACAGAGGAAGTAAGGGGAGGAAAGGGCCTTGCGGGAGCTTACACAACAAGCCAGAGGCATAGCCAACATTCAAACCCAAGCCTCCAGACTCCTCATCCAGTGCTCTTCCCCTCCCCCAAGCTGTCTCTAACCAAATTCAGCCCCCTGCCTGTGTTGGCCACCAGCCCCAGTTCCCAGCAGGAGATGACAGGAGGGCCCTGCAGCCCCACCTTTTGAACCCGCCTTCCCTCCCGCTGCCAGGCTGCAAGTATCCTCCTCCGGGGCATTCGCCGCTGCCCCTGCCGCCTCTCTCCCATGCCCACCTCTCCGGCTGCTGCAGGGCCCGGGCACTCACCTGGTTCTCCTTGAGGCTCATGTACCCCTGTTCCTTGTTCCCAGAGAAGGGTTGGCAGCAGCGCCAAACGTTCTCACCTGGCCTGACTCGCTGCACAAAATTGGCTGGGAAGAAGCCAACCCGGTCGCCAATCTTGCCCTGGGGATGAGGCTGGCAATGAGCCCCGGTGCCACCCCCTCCCACATTGCTCCCTCTAGACTTGATGCCCGTTCAGAGCCAATGCCATCAAACTCCAGATCCTGGGCTTCCTGTATCCGAACCCCCAATAGGGTGGCTTCTGCACTGGGAAGGGCATGAGGTGAGCAGAGGGACAAGGCTGAGGCAGGGAGGGTCAAAGTGAGAGCAAGTCCCAAGTGTTGGTCCTAGGCCAGTGGCTGGAGGAGTAGGGAAGGTCTTTGGGTCTGGAGAGAAGGTGGGGCAACACCCATTGAAGGTGGGGGAATGGTGGGGTGCCTACCAGGGTCCCTCTGCTCCCCACCCTGCCAAATCACCTTCCACCAGTCCTCGTTAGAGTCATCCACCAGCATGATCCGGTCCCCAGGCCTGGGAGGACAGAGCTGGGGTCGCAAATGGGCAGGAGGGACCTGCCCTTTCCACATCTTAACCACCTGGGGCCCCCAGATCCCCAGCACGCCCCACCCCCTGCAGCTGGGGAAGGATTCTTGATGCCCTCAGAGGACGCTATGACCACAGGTACAGTAGACACTTTAGGGCAGAGCCTGGGCCAGGGCCAGGAGACAGGACATCAGCACCAATCCCTTTTGGACTCTGGGCAGTCCAGCTCCTCTCTGGGCTCAGCTGTCTCATGCATGCAGGAGAAAGTTCCTGAAGGTCCCCCTCACACTCATGTCCCAAGGTCTGGGAGCAGGGCCCTGAGCTTGGAGCCCGGTGGCTGCCCAGTGGGGCTGGACCACAAAGAGGACTTACTGCAGAGCCAGGTCATTATTCTCTTGGGGCAGAAACTTGTAGAGCGCGACGTAGGAGTACATGGGCCCCACGTCCTTTCGCAGAGGGGGCTTGGGGGGCTGTGGAAGAGCTCTGGGTCAGTGATGGGAGGGGGCCACCCACTGTTCACTGGCCCTGACCTGGCCTACCCTGGGGGGGCTAGGAGGTGGGACACAGTGCACCTGGGTCCGTGACAGGGAGAGGTCAGGTTCCCCTATCTTCCGTGTTCATCCTTGGGGGTCTGGGCCAAGGACGGAGAAAGAGAACTCTCCTCTGGTGGCTGCACCCCGGAACTGCCCGCTCTTGGGGAGTTGGCACGGGAGTGGGCACTGCAGGCATTGGCTCAGTGGTGGGAGGGGTGGTACCCCCTGCCTTCCTTGCATACTCACCCTGGCATTGCCCATCCCCGTAGACTGAGGATAAATGATGGAGCAGTGATACTCCCACTCACCATGCTCTCACCCACCTATTGATCAATGACAGGAAGAAGTGACATCCCCTTCCCATCTGGCCTCCCAGGCTCAGTGCCAGCATAACCTCACCTGCTGTCTGGGGCTCTTCTCCTCCGGTCCTGACCCTTCACTCTCGGCCGGGGCTGTGAATACTAGAGATGCCAGGGCAGGGCCGGGCCGTGAGGCAGCAGGGAGTGGCCTGCCCTGTGCTCTGTTCCTGCCCCTGGTCCCCACCGCCACTCACCACTGTCTCCAGGGCCCTCCTCTGAGCTGCGGATGCTGCCTTCCCCATCCTCAGTCAGCTCGTCCCGCTCACTCTGGGGACAAACGGGGGAGGGCTCAGCCCCTAGACCCTCATCCTCGGAGACCTCTGCCCCCCAGGCTCCCCTTTGGTGCCTGACATACCAGGCTTCGCGTGGGGGACTCAGAGGTACTGCTGAAGCTGGAGCGGTTCATCAGAGCCAAGGAGGTGCCATAGCGCAGGGTCTCGTAGACGGGGTCTACCTTCCCGCTGGCCCCTGCCAAGGAGCCACCCTCAAGGTCGGGCACCCAGCTGCCAACCTTGCTCTGCCCCGAAGCCCTGTATCACTTTCACTCCCTCGGCCCCAGCCAAGACGTCCTTTCTTTAACTCCCTGCCCCATCCCACCCCAGGCCCCTCTCTGCCCACCAGTCTTCACCAGATCCTCTTGGAATTACTCCTCATCCTTTGCATCTCTGGACGCCTTCCCTCTCCCTGCGGATGAGGACCGTGCCTACTTGACTTTCTAGTCCCTGTCCTTCTCGGTTCAGGCATTCATGAGAATGGTGATTAACTGCCGAGTTGTGTGATTAGTTCTTTCATGTCTAGCTCCCTTACTAGACCACGAACTCCACCTTCTTCAGTGCTGTGTCCCCATGTCTAGCACAATGCCTGGTGCTTGTAAGTGTTCCATAAGATGTCTGTTCCATAAGATATGAATGAATGAATGCCCCCTCCATTCAGGACAAGGGCATTCAGAGCAGGGAAGTGCCAAGGACTGGTGGTGCCACGTGACTCGGGTGCCTATCTGACGAATGCGTGGGTTTCTCATCACACCCCAGCGGGATCAGAGGCCATGGGGGGACACTCACCAGTGGGTGGGGACTCTCTGCTTGTGACACAGGCTGGGGGTGGCTCATGCACCAGGAGCGGGGAGCTGAAGTTGCGACGGAAGGAGGAGGACTATGGCGAGAGGGAGTAGAGAGAGGGCATGAGGGTGTCACAGCCCGCCAAGAGCTTGTCCTTCCCCGAGCCACAGGACCACCCCACAGGAGGAACCAGCCTGGAGGGGGGCACCCATCCCCCCACAGGCCAGTCCTGGGGGGGCACCCACAGCCAGCCAGCCCTGCATGGTCCCCACTCACCGCCTTGCCGGGGCACGGCTGCTGGGAGACCTCCTCCGAGCACCAGAGGTGGACACTCACTTTGCACGCCTTACACCGCAAACCCTGCTTGGAGTTTCCTGGGAAGAATTTGGGTTCAACAAGAAGGATTAGGCCAAAGAGGATACATCCAGGGGCAAGGAGCAAAGGGGGCAGGTTAGGGCATCGGTGGAAGAAAGGGGTCGGGCATCCTCACTTCGGCCTGGGGGCCTAGTGCCTCCCCCTCATACGCTTGCCCTGTCAACCGAAGCCTGAGCTGTTAGTAAATGCAGCGACACTGGGCACCTGCCCACCCCAAGGCTGCTCATTTGTCCACCCAGGGTGAGGGGCACAGTTAGGATGGAGGGCCCTGAATAGCAAGAGCCCAACATCGGGCATACTCCCCACCCCCATCCTGACCCCTCTCCTTGACCCCCCAGGCACCTACCCACGATGAGCTGGTGGCAGAGCTCACAGGGGCTGGCTCTCTTGAAGACGTGTTCCTGGAAGCTGTGCAGTCTTACTGGTTTGAGTGGTGCCAGGGGCCGTGGGATGGGGCAGGGGGAGGGGGTCGGGGTCGGCAGGCCCCCGTCTGTAGATGCCGGTGGTGGGGAGGGGGGGGGGGGGGGGGGGGGGGGAGTGAAGCCCGGCCTTGGGGCAGGGGGCGGGGGCCGCGGCTTACCAGTGGAGGCAGAGCGCTGATGGAGGTGAAGCGCTGTTTGGCACGCCCCCCTCTTCCGTCCCAAACCGCTCTCCCTTCGCGCGTCGGCTCGTTCCACTCCAGTTTGGGCCGCCGGAACTTCCCAATCCCGTTGATCCTGGGACCCGGCTTTAACTCCTTTCTCCCCGGTGTGGGCTCACGCTGCCTTGAACCAAACAGAAAGGCCCCTCTCCCTGCAACAGGACGATGCTCTCCGGAGGTGGAGGCTGTCTGAGACTGAGGCTGGGGTGATGAGAATGTCCAAAGGGAGCTCCGACACAGACAGCAATAAGAAATCCCGGGGACCCAGGAGTCCTTCTGCCTTTGTCCCTCGTATCCCCCCAGGCCCTTCCAGAAGGCAAGGTCCCCGTTTCTTGGAAGAGAGAGGAAAGAGGAGGAAGAAATGTGGAGCTGCGAGAGTGGCTAAAATCAGACCTAGTGCCTTTTGACCTAGAATTGCTCCCCCTTCATCCTTGATTTGGGGACAAATACCCAAGGCCTGGATCCCACCAACCACAACCTATGGAGAGAAAAGGAATTAGGGACTCTGGCAAAAACTCTGGTATTGGGGAACCTGCCTGGCTCAGTCCTTAGAGCATGTGACTCTTGATCTCAGGGTGGTGAGTTTGAGCCCCACCTTGGACATAGAGATAAGTTAAAAACAACAACAACAATTCTGGTGTCAGTTTGGCTCAGGCTCTTTCAGCCCTGGACAAGTCACTACACTTCTGTAAAATGGGGTTGCCGGTACTGTAGTGTCTTTGTCACCTGGGATTATTAGGAGGATGAGGGAGAATGAAATCAAATGATGGACTGCTCAGGTGTTTGGAGATGCTATAAGGCGCTGAACAAAGGTCTCTCATGGCAGGAGGAATTGTTACTTCTCCACCGCTTCCCCTGCTCCTCAAAGAGGGGAGATGAGAAGTAGAATGGACAAGATTTGCCCAGGTTCAGTTACCCTAATATAAAGCCCAGCCTGCTGTCTCCTGCTAGAGGAGAGACTGTGGAATACACTGACCTCTTCTCCTCACCCTGGGTTCTACAAGTGGATGGCCAGCTTATGTTGTTTCTCTGCTCACATTACTTTGAGGGAGAGTAAGAATGAAGTACATCAGCACTGTGCTATGAACAGATCCAACCCTGAACAGGGTTTCGATCTGTCCCTTGGGCACAAGGAGCCTGGTATGACAGAAAAGGCATGGATATTGAAGTCAGAAAGACCTGGATTTTCAATTTCTGCTACCTCACTCAGCTGTAAAATGAAGATGACACTATCCCTGTTGTCTTGAAAAAGTGGCATGAATTTTGCTTTGCTTCCCCTCCTCTCTTTCCTCAGCTCCATTTAGCAACCAGGAAAGTTCAGATGATAGAGATGGGTGCTCAGCCAGAGCCAAGCAAGCAGATAGAGCCAGGACTCAGATCTAGATTTCTTGAACCCCAGAATATTCTCTTTGGGTTTTTGCATTGGGTGTTTCAGAGCAGGAGAAAAGAACTATGGATGACCCTGTCATTCCATTTTTTTTCTAACTTTCACAACTATTCCTTCAGTCAGCCAATGCACTATTTCTCAAATGCTTACTACACGCAAAGCTCCATGCCTCCTGTGGTGCCTACAGCAAGAACCAAACAAGCCTGGTTCCTGTCACCAAGGAGCTTGTCTTAATATCCTCTTTTGCAAGTTAATTCATGTGGTTTTCACAACGGATGACAGGAATATTAGGATTAGGTACACTTTACAAAGGAGCAAACTGAAGCGCTACGAGATTAAGGACCACAGTGGCACAAAAACGTAAACTGCTATGTTTGATCTCTCCTGTGCTGCAGGGGTTCCCAACGTACGGGGACAGTGAATAAAAGGTTGCTCTTGAGTGATATCTCCCCACGTTGTCTTCTCTCACTCCATTCACTAATATTTTTTCGCTAAGAAAACATCACCCAGAGAACCCAGAACGCCTGCAAAGAGTAGGCCACTCCAGCAAAACTACGCGCCGCCTGCGCCGTCCAGCCGTGGCTTCCGGCTTCCACTGCCCACGTGATCAGGTACCCTTGCTGCGCATGCCTAGTAGGAAGTCGGACTATACCACTTTGCCTCACCGAAAGGATCTATTTTTTACATTTTTAAGTTTAAAACCGATTCCCGAGATTAGGCTTCTATTCTCTAGGTCTTCACAGAGGGTAAGAGTAAGCTCAGTGTGGTAGAGGATGCAAGGACGGGCGGGGAATACGGGCGAAAGCGGAGCAGGGGGTGGGCTCTCCCCCTCGCAGATAATGGGAGGAGCCCGGCCGGGGGGAGTTCTTTCCTTTCGGCGCTGCGGCCGCAGCCATGAGGTGAGGGCGTGCGGGCCCCTGATTTTGCTTGATTCGACGTGCCGGCGGGCGGCAGGGCTCGCTTCCGTGGCCCCGGGTGGGAGAGATGAGGTGGAGGCAGTCCTGAAGCAGCCGGTACCGGAGCTTGGGATGGGCCGGAGCGCACCAGGCCCCGGCCTCGCGGGGATGGGGGGGTGGCGTCCCGAGAACGCGAGGCCGCGGGAAGGGTGGGCCCCGCGCCCCATATGGGTCGCGAGCGACTTTTGCGCGGACAGTGGAAGGGCCGCGGCGGGGTCTAGGCTCTGGCCCCCCTTACTCGCTGGGCGCCCCGGATCGGAGCCGAGCTGTGCTTCCATGTGACATAGGACAAGTCTCGCGTAGGCCTCGGGCCTCAGACTGCTAAGAGTGGGGCGATCCCTAGCACTTTAACGCCTTCCGCCCCGTGGACGGTTCCTAAGAAAACTCTGAGGCTAGCGGAACGTAAGTTTATTACTGTGATAAGACGAGGGAGACGGGCCCAAGAAGCAAAGGACTAGACGAGCGAATCAGACCCTCTGGCCTCGGATTCTTAGACGCCTGTTTTTAGAGCTCGGTACCAGAAAGGGCATAAGCCCCTTCTTCATCCCAGTTTTATCCTTTAACCTCATTTTCCGGAGGAGAAAACTGAGGCAGAGAAGTTAAGGCATAGCTTGGACTTTGTTCTCATTCCAAGGTGGCCAGTTGCTCTTGCAGGAATGCACAGCAAAAGTCTTGCTAGAGAAATGATTCTTAATATGGGGGCGGGATGTTGCCCCAAATCCTGAGTGCTTACACACATCCAGTTCCCGTGCTTTAGGTTTCACAACATTAAAAGATTGCAAGGCAAGTCTTGTCGGGGAATGGCTTCCAGGGCTTGATAATGTTTTCTATTTGTCACAGTATGCTCAGGCTTCAGAAGAGGCTTGCTTCCAGTGTCCTCCGCTGTGGCAAAAAGAAGGTCTGGTTGGACCCCAACGAGACCAATGAAATCGCCAATGCCAACTCCCGTGAGTTCTTGGGATCTTTTTCACCCTACTCCTTTCTCATCCTTCATGAGATGAAAGATGTCACGATTTTGACTCTCAGCAAACCTAGGAAAGCTCATAGTCTGGGGTCTTCTAAAATGGAGGGTCCCAGGGCGCCTGGGTGGCTCAGTTGGTTAAGCGACTGCCTTCGGCTCAGGTCATGATCCCAGGGTCCTGGGATCGAGTCCCGCATCGTGCTCCCTGCTCTGCGGGGAGCCTGCTTCTCCCTCTCCCACTCCCCCTGCTTGTGTTCCCTCTCTCGCTATGTCTCTCTCTGTCAAATAAATAAATAAAATCTTTAAAAAAAAAAAACTTTAAAATGGAGGGTCCCAGAAATAAGGAGATACCAGAGGTTCTCTGTCATTTGCCAAAATGACAGGATGGGAGTTAATGGAACAACCCAGTGTTGTATTAATGATCATTGCTAACGTGGGTATTGCTTTATAACTATGTGAAGGATTTATGAGGAGACAGTACAGGGACTGAGAGTAGAGATGGCCAAGGAAATGATGAAGGATGGATTGGGAAGACCTGGGACCTCGGGCTTTAGGAAAGGCCTCTTGGCATATAATTCGGGGCAGTTAAACAGTTGTCAGTCGTGCAGACAGCAACATATCCACATTACTTCCATGTGATATTGTTACAGAAAAAGGTGTTCAGTCATCCTCGTTAAAGATAGTAAGGCGGGCTTTATTCAGGACCATTGCTGCAAGTGTAGGGACAACTGTGGGATTTTACAATGGGGGGTGGAGATGGCACTCAAGTCTGAACGTAGCATGGGCAAGTAGGAATTTATGGCCAAGGTGGGTGGTGTGAGGGTCAGTGGATGGAAGATGACTAAGAGGAAACCCTAATGGTAAGGGGCTGTGGGGGGGGTGGATTCTGGCTAGATTGACCAAACAGGATTGTTGCTAAAGACAGGCCGGGATGATCAGACATCACCTGGGGAATGTTGGGGGTTGGGGAACCTGATCTTATATCAAGGGTGGGGGTTTGTGCTTAAACTGACTTAAGCAGGGTTCTTAGAAAGACTAGAATTGGGCGCCTGGGTGGCTCAGTTGGTTAAGCGACTGCCTTCGGCTCAGGTCATGATCCTGGAGTCACAGGATCGAGTGCCGCTTCGGGCTCCCTGCTCGGCAGGGAGTCTGCTTCTCCCTCTGACCCTCCTCCCTCTCATGCTCTCTGTCTCTCATTCTCTCTCTCTCAAATAAATA